CTACAATTCATCCAGGATGTTTTGCTTCCCGATGACCTGAACACCACAAATGAAGATCATCCTGGAATCCGAACGAGATATGATTTAACAGACACCACATTGTGTGCAGTTGTCGACCTCATTTTAGATCAATGTCTGACTTCAGGACTGGTAAAACTGGTAGATGAAAATTTCAAGAATAAGAATAAATCAGTGAGAGGATTGCCTTCCATTAAGCTGTCCGAATCTCGATTTAACTTGAACCTCGATTCACTGAAGCTTAATGTACGTTTTGTTACCGGTTCAAATTCGCTTGGAATTTTTGGGATACCCGAGTCTGTGCATCGTTTCGGAGAAACGGGAATTTCAACATCAGATCTACTGAATAATGAACCAGTTGTATTAGATCTATCGTTGGATGACTTAAAGTTAAGGTGGATGGGATGCATGCAGCCAAATTATTTCTCGTTTGACATGAGTTCTCTGGATGGAATTTTTATTAGTCAATCCGCAGAAATTTTGACTGGCGCGATATATTGGTGGCTGGTTTTTGCAGAAGATCTTTCAAACATATTAAAAAAATTCCAAAAACATCGTAGACGGAAACTACAGTACCTGATACACAACATTGCCCAATATTCCGAAGAAAACTCTATCGAAAGTGATCCACATTACTTAACGAGACCGTCTCATGTGCTTAGATTGGGCGCGACCAAATTAAAGAATGATCACGGATGGAAGATTCTTGGCCGAGTGAGACATATCAAAAGGTTTATGGAACCGGAAAGGATAGAAGAGTTGCAAAATGCCTTTAAGGAGAAAGCATCGTTATTTTCAATGAGTCAAAATGAAATGTATGAACATGTTGTTCGCATTTTCTCCCGTTGGAGGGACTGGGAGATGGATAACATGTCCTCCTGTCGATTATTTACAGAGCTCTTTCAACAGCCATCTAGAGGCTCTGCTCCACGGATTAACAAGATAGAAGAGATCTATCGATTCTTGGTAAAATCAATAAATATGGGTCACCTATGCATTGACACAATTAAAATATCGATTTGGGAAGGAAAGCAA